GTGATTTTTACTCAAAGTTCTCAGTCGATTTGAGTGAATTTTGTCTTGACAAGTGCATAGGTTAAAAATGATTCAATTACTTTTAACTATAGGTAAAACAGAACAGACGAGACTGTATACCGTCCTGCTTTTAAAAAGCCTAGATGTGTATTTTGTTCTCTTCTGAAAACCAATGTATAAATATCCATTCAAATGACGGATATATTTCATACTGTGAGAACGGTAATACACTTTCAGTGTAGTAACACCACACTTAGCAAACTGATGACAACTGGCTTCTTTGGATAATTCCTTCATAATTTTGTACAGAGTACTGCGAAGCCACTCAAAAGAAGTAAGGTTAGGATCTCTGGGTATATTGAAGCACTGGTAATCCAAAAGTTCAAACTATCATTATGCAGTCAAAAATGTATGTACATCCTCTTTGTTTACCATAGCCATCACAGAAGACCGAGCATTCGAGATAATTCCCTTATGATGTAATTATATCTTACTTTAAAATCATCTGTTTAGTTCTCCCATTTTAAACACTTATATGTGTTGCATAACTTTCCTTTGTCTTAATATTTGGCGAAAAATTACTCTAGAGTATTCTGTCGTTTCCAAAATATACTCACGAATGTACACGATGATTTAATCATGAAGGAAGATTTTTCCTTACTGCAACCGTCTTCCCAGTTCTTCTATGAAAAAGAGAATACATCAGACTGATTGCTGGTGCTTGCCACTGTGCTAGCTAGGAAACGTCAAGCTGTTATCGAAATAGTCGTAGACTTGACGACTTGTTCACTATCTTGACAACGTCACCCGATCTTAACACAATTCTACAGACGTGTAGGTGGAGTGGCAATGGCGTCGGCCTTAGGCCCACTCCTAGGTGACCATCTCGGAAAACACAATCTTGTCAAAAATAATCATCAAGCTTCATATCTACAAAAGATATGCATATGAAACCTTTTAATAATTGGAGACGACACTCTGAATCTCGAGAACTTGTTTCGTAAACGCAGACTTGAAAAATTGCTTGAGTAGAGTGTATGATTTAAATAGTTTTAGGGTTAAACTTTTAGATAGGGAATAAATAATGATAATCAACTCACCGAACTTGTATGGAATAAAGACCAAAAGTTTTGGTACTTGCATATAACCAGTATGCCAGGGTATCCAGTTTTACTTCAGAGTCATGAAATTCAACAGAATTTCAAAGCGTAAGTACTTCAAACTAATAGAATTAAGAGCATAAATAATTTATTCCTGTGAATAGATTTACAAATTGTTTTTGTGATAAAAAGCCTAAGTAATCACTGAGAAGTACAGTTAATCAGCAAAAAACTCCCTTATCTGGTATTTACCCATCCTTTCATTTATCATTTGCATACATAATTATAACTAAATCTGCTAGTTTGCCTACACATCCCCATTTATAGTTTTCGTGCATACTACAATGAAATATTTAAGAGTTTTACAAATCATGCTACTAAAGTAAAACTTTCATGACTACATGCGTGCTGAATTTACACATACTAACCGACAGGGCAGAAGAATTTTCATTCATTCTAGAATAAACTTTGGAAAAAAAACTAAAGAATATTACTGAACCAAACTAGAATTTTCGCAAAACTTCTTAAGCAGTATTGCTTATGTTTGTAAAACCTTAATTGAAATTGATGAACGTTAGTATCTAAATTGAAAAAGTTTCACAATGGTATTCATCATGGAGAAGCATTGGGAACCTGGAGGAACTGTATACCTTTTTCGTCCTGGCATGGAGCTCCTGAGAAGTGCGCACCCGTGACTTCCCAGGGTCTTAAGAAATCTCATCTTGAAGCAAATCATTAATAATCAGTGGGGATGAACTCATTTTGAAGTTTGCAATGATTTTTTAGATTCTATAATGGTATTACCAGGGAATGACTTCAGCTGGAGAACCAATGAAGTTAGTATATCCCCATCAAATTGAAAAGGTTTTAATGTTTCCCCTTTTATTAACCTTATATAAGGATTCGTATACATGTGCGACTTGAATTCTCTTTACTGGTTTCAAAACACCAGTCATACCAGCTTCAACTAAGAGTTAAATGATTTATGTTGGTTGGTTGGTTGGTTGGAGGCAACAGATAGGAAGCCTTGGTCTGCCCAGTTTCCTTGCTTATCGGCACTCATCAGCAAGATGCATCCGCAACTTTGAGAAGAGTGATGTCCCCTATGACTGGTTACTGTTGTTTGCTTCCGAAGGCCGGCGAAATTCTAACAATTATATTCCAATCTGGCCACCAAGTTAGGAAGCTCATCACCCCTATGCACTTAGATGTATGTTAGTTGGTCGAAACTCTACTCGACTGAAATTTCGACTGATTTCTTCGGTGCTACTAAATGTAAATTCTTGAAAATATGAGTAGCCGCTTAATCCGGACGTGGTACTTCCTGAAATGGCACTAAACGAATGCCACAGTAACCAAGCTGTCAAAATATTCATTGCTGAAATAGCCTACTCCAGTTTTACAGTCTACCTATGCAAGTAGTAGGCAGTCAACCTGCAGAAGATTTCTTGTTAGTTAGTTCACGGCAACTTTATTTATCATCTAAACACATGCTTTAAACTTTGACAGTGACGTTCATTTCATGTTATCACAATAGAAGATGCAAGTAACACCTTTGTTTTTCTTAATCTTCACAAGCCTGCAGGAGAAGTGAAAGAAATGTTTACGAACGTTTAATAGCTATATATCTGAAAATGAATGGTTCCAGATACCCATCGGCTTGCCTGTCCGCATTTCATTAAACGTAAATACGATAAAAGACATAATCGTTAAAATGGTTCAGATATCGGTGCCACAATCTTTCACTATTAACTAAAACTAAATATAAAAACTGAAGAAACTGTAATGATTTCCGAAGTAGTCGATCTTCTTTAATTGCCAAGTTACGACTGTAGATAGTAATGCAGTCCATACTGGTTAAATGGTAAGCTTACGTTTAAGATTAGACTTCAAGGATTCATATGTAAACAAAAAGCGAAAATTGTCTTGAACCTAACTGGCCCGAATCACATCAGCTTTCAGTGAAATAACCTTGAAACCAAACAGTTCCAAGTTATGACATCTCAGTAATTCTGTTTAGTTGTTTTAAAAAAAATCTGTTTATGCAGTAGGAGCCCAAAAAATACTTGAAATTGTCACATGCAAAGCTCCTTTGCAAAACGTTGCTTGTGGTACTTGTTACATGAATTTAGTAACAAAAAAATGACACAGTGACTTCTTTGATCATAATCCAGAGGAATCGAGAACCATGTGGAAAAAAGGTTACCACTAAATGCCCTCGTACAACATGGTCACTTTAAACCAGACAAAAGGAAAATAATGACAATTACATTTAGCTAAGGCATCCTTTGCTTCTTTCAATAGTTAAACACTAGAATGATACATGTAGGATTGATGGTTTACTTGATTATTTCTCACCTGTTTATGAATAATATTACCCATGTTTCTAGAACATATGTATACCGACGAAAATATCATGATGATTCACTGAATTTATTGGCTTCACACATAAAACGTGGTTAATAATATTTTACTCGTACAACAAAATGATTCCTTCTTCATCTAGTTAGTAACCATAAAGGTAGTTTTCCCCTGCTTTATATCATATGCTTTCCATTCTCACTGTTAACTTCACTGGTATTCAGTGTTTAGTACAATTAGTTTCTACTTCTGAATACAGAGTGAAAAAAACATTAAAAAAAGCAAATTAGTCACAAGGTGACGATGTCTAATCGGTGTAAAGGTGAGCAACTAGATTTAGTTGTTTCTCTCCCCAATGTTCTTCTTTCCAATAGTAGAAACACTAATAAGCTGTTAAGTGTGTTTATATCACTCTTGTTTGTTTCAAAGCTATTATTCAGGGTATATTTAGATCATTTATTCTCCAGAGAAATTTCATTACACATTTTCGACCTCAACTGTTTTATTTGGAAGTGGGTTCAATTTGATATTATTTTTTGTCAGACCATACATTTATGTATTGATATCACCTTACAGACAATTTGTTTAGAGAAAACTGAACAAAGGAGAAAATGATTTTCAGAAGTCGACAAGAGAAAAATGTCTGAATTTGATGAAAACTAATCATTTGGGCCATTGCCTCAGGCATTTTTCGATTATTGAAAGAATTGATAGGTTATAAGCATGCGTGGAACGGAAATGAAACATACTATAACTATGCTGAAGACTTTGCTAAAAAGTCCTCCTTAAACTGTCATGCAGTTCATTTTAAGAGAACACTTCCTAGCTTTTTTTCAACTCTTAAAGTGTTTGTAAGCAGCAGTAACAAAGAGTTTTTCAAACTAAAGTTTTTGTATTGCATTTATTTGTCGCATTTTTTTTCACCTCAGAATAGATTCCAGAATGCAGATGAAAGTAAAATAATAAAACAGAACAACAGCAGTATAAACTTTCTAAATAGGGAGATAATAAGAATCCGCTGAGATAACTCATCTCGACTTTCATCAGTAAAGTAGGCATACTAAACCACTGGTGGGAGGAAGCCAGTGAATTCTTTTTAGAAAGCATACACCCTATCAGAAAGCCAAGTAAATTAGTAATTGTCTCCGTAAATCATTTTGATGCTTTTCATATTATAAACGGCGTACCAAAGTATGACAGAATACAATCAAACCTAACCAGGCCATATTGTATGCATTCCAGTATACTTACCTTTCATACTCGACGAATCTATTTATTTTCCAAAGATATGAACTTACACTATATCTCAAAACCATTCACTATTTGGTTTCACCATACTCATGTTTTACTTGATCACCTGAATCAAACTTATGACCCATCTCACAAAAAGAAAATAATCTTGCCACAGTACTGTAAGCGACAGCCATATTAACCGAAAAATTCCTGTTTTGTCTTTTCATATTACTTATTTAACAACTGAATTGAAAAACATAAAGTGAAAATATCATTCCAACTTGTCAACGATTATCTCTTTAAGGTATGGAACGCTTAAATAACTTTCATATCAGGGGTCAGCTACCATACGGAGGTTTAGCTAATAACCCAATAACAACTACGTAAATGAGAGATATCTCAATGCATTATACAGTGGTAGAACTCAATAGCTTGTGTCAATGAACAATAACTCTTCGTATACTTTTCTGATTGCAACTAAAAGATTATAGGCAATTACCTTTATGTCAGTTTAGTACAATTCTCTACTGAATTTTTATACAACGCTACCTGGATGGTTGTAACAATATGTCTCATTTTAATCTTTTTCTACGCCAGTTTCCCTCGGTTGCAATTCGCGTTTGTTGGCAGATCGTGTTTTAGTACCTGATACATCATTTCAGCATTCCAGTGCCGCTACTATACAGCATGGAGCTGCAGCTGCTCGGTAAGTTAAGTTTTATTTCACTGTTATGTAACTTCAAACAGATGCTCGACACGGTAGCAGAAGGTTTCACTAAGAATAAGTGACTCACAAAAGCTTTTAACTGTCAACAGGTTGATAAACACTCAATTATGAATCAAACAGTTATTTAAGTATCACTTACACGTATCTGTATCGGTTGATTTGTTCTTCAAATCAAAGGTTTGAACAACGTTATTCTGAATCGTTTGAAGTTAAGCAGTATAAAATGACAAGTATATTGGCTGGTAGAAAAAAAATGCATTGAGGTTGTTTAAAAAACTGTAATTTTGTGATATAATTACCATTATGCTCTAAGGTAACAAATTAGCAACAGCATCATAAAATCCTGAGAATCCTAAGAACAATTCAACCTATGAATTTACTCAAGCTACGTAGTAGTAATAACAGAAAATAATCTACTCCTTCATATTTTCACGCACTTAATCTACTGAAAGCCATTCATATGATCCAACTACGCACTCATTCAAATATAGACACATTTCACACAGGAGGACTATGGTATTATTTTAAATTGTAAACTGAATAGAAGACGACATTTCTTTGGTACACGTATGCAAACAAAATGCATCTATAAGCCTAAATGCCCAACAACTGTGTTGCCTTACCATTCCAGGACTACAATGGTAATATCCTTACAAGAAAACGATTAAAAGAGCATACAAGCGTATTACTGTGAATTTTTTGGGTTTCCTTTTAAAAGATTAAGTAACGAGATCGGAGTTTGCCCCAAATGTGATACTTTTAATGAAACAAGATATTTCATTCGGTTGACAGTGAACAGTCAAGGAATACTGTTGCCACTTAGTTGATGCACTGCAGGCGACTGGATCATTTCAAGCACATACCTGCTGATTGTTCATAAAGTGCGGCATGACAAAGAATCTAAAAAATGCTACTTTATTTGACTGATTTTCTTGGTATCTCAACAAATCAACCCGTATCGGTAGCTGATCGAAGGGTAAGAATTCCGATCTCTGTTGATCGCAAATAAAACATTATTCTTCGCTAACAGTAGATAAGGGTTTTAACCTAAATCTAGAAAAGGGACACAGAGTAGATGTTAAAACAAGTAGGCCTCAATGCTCGCTTACGGTGGTTCTTTTCAAGTCAGAATTGTTCACATTATCGTCAGTTTGGAATAGTGTTTTCTGTTTCAAACGAAATCAAAATGTGGCACTTTCAAACTTTCTCACAAACTGCTTTTCATTCATACAGTGAAGTCGTGTATAGTTCTTGTCAATGATTTTCCCGACTTATCTTATTGGATAACTACCAACAGAGTGAATGAAGACTGAATAGATGTGACTGTCACACTGCTTAGCGTTGAATCGACAACTCCTAAAAATCATGAAACCAAAAGACTCTAACATGAATACACATACAGACCACCAACACATCTAAACATGTTCATAATGAAAAAGTAAGTCATACGAATTATACGCATGGATATGTTTAGATTTCATAATATTTCTGACCGTAATATCAAAACATAGGCAGTTATCATGATCCAAATTGTAAATATTATTCGACTGATGCTTCAACCTTCCCGTCCATTCATAAGTTGAATGTCTCCCATATTCTTGAATGAACTTTTTGGTTCGAAGGGAAGTGGTAACAAATAATTATTATACTTTAATATCAGCTTCTGACAAATAGCTTTGACTGAGAAAACAGTCGATGTCAACAACATACTGCAGCGTAGATGAAAAGGCGTGCAAAAATCCATTTTATAAATATACATAGATATTGTCATATCCAGGTTTCCGTTACCAAAGTCTATGCATAACATGACAGTTGTCAACATTTTAAACTTGATAGTTTGACAGGTTTTTCAACTTGAAACAAGATTCATAAATTTGTTTGTGCGTTTATCAGTTAGTACTTCCTTCATATTTGATAAACATTTTTATGTAGTCATTTTCACTTTCTTCAATATAGCGTGATAATTTCCATATGTTTGTACAAAAGATCATTACATTATTTTTTGGTTTGCTTATTTTCAACACTTATTCATCTGTTTGAAATACACATCATGAATAAACCGGTCAGTGACAATGCAAGTTAAATTTGTCACAAAGAAATAATTCTTAGTGAAATGAATCTTGGCTCCGCCAGATCTTGAGGAGTTCATCACTTTCAATAACACTTAAAGCTGAAATTCATCAAAAGGAATGAGTAGGAAAAATTATTACAGCTTCTGATCAGCCGTCAACTCTTATCTGCATCCAAATAAGTACACTGCCATAATGAAAGTTGTTGGATCTAGTTTGGTGACTGTTAATGACAATACTCAGTGAAAATATTTGTTTGACACAAGTGATTAAAAAGCACAACCAATTACCAAGCAATAGGCAATGTCAGATTTCATAAATAAGCCAGTCAGTATGGAAGCATGAAGTCGACCAGCACTATCCTGACAATTAATAACGGCAAACACGTCAACCGGTATCCCAAGCATTCCATGGTTGACAATGTTCTGTCTGATAAAAGTAGACTGACTCACAATAAATGAAGTAAAGGTATCAAGAGAAGAGATAAAATATCTTCACTTATCCTCCTTGAACTGGCTTAAACCTTACACGGATATCCAGACTGATTAAAACTCAGTTATTTGAGTTAAAAGAAGATAATATGTGCACTAATAACTCCTAACTCACCTCTAAATGTTTTTCTCACGTAGTTTTAGTCCAAATCCCTCTCTCAAATATTCCCCGCTTAAAACAGTTTAAAGTTTGATTAATACCATTATATGGCGATTATTCATGAGATAAGACAAACTTCTTGTAGTCATGTTAAGGGGTCTTTACATGACTGGACAAATATAAATATAGTTATTTGACTTTGAATGACAGTTCAAAGTGAGGCTACAGCCTATTTATGAACTAAGAATCATCTAAATCCACAGTGTAAGTAGTACTGTCGTCAGCAAGTCCAAATAAAATTTATTACCGAATAGTCGATTTTAAATTAAAGGATTTGATCAAAGTATTCAGCAGTTCTGCGCAATATTCAAGTTGTCTACAGCCAGTCGACAGAAAACGTGATGTCAAAGTCTTCCTTTAGTTTAATAAGTCTAACTGCGAAGAATGTTTTATTTGAGATTTAGAATAGCAATACCGTACTATGGTTCAAACTACGGCAAATCTTTCATAACCTTCCTTTATAAATAGGTTTGGATGAACAAAACGTATCATAAAAAAGTGTCTGTCACGTTATAAACACTGTGCTAACACAATCTAGGCCTAGGTGATAAATATCTTTTTTGGTAGTGATAACTCATATGAAACTTATTCGCCTGTTAGATAAAAAGCAATGCAAATTTGAACTTTAAGTAAAGACTATGTTTTCCTGGAGTTGCAGATAAGCTCAACGGAAGACTATCCACGGGTAAAAAACATGGATCCACTTATTTTCACTTATCAACTCCTAGTACTCATCCTAGATTGTGATGTACTGTCAACTAATACAGCTAAACATTTGTTAAGAACTTGAGTACGGCTTTCATTCGTGAGTGCTTATAACTTAGAAGTGGTTCCAAAAGTTCTGTACTGTTGAGATTCCATTTCTTCTCTATATTTCATGGTTTACCATCAATGTTCCTGTAGTTCATCCAGCAAAATAGATATCACATCAGTCTACGAAATACTTTTAGGCTCTAATTTCATAAAAAGTGGCCGAAAAAATCTCTAAGAAACTTATATCTTTGTTGTTAATATCACGAATCCAGATTCAAATAACTGAAGTCATGAAGTTGGACTTCAACGTAAACTATTACCACTCTTTTGCCCATATTGACCACTAGACAAGAGGTGTATACAAGACTTCAGTTATCAAATATTCTCATCAAATCAAATCGGTACTATTCAAGGTTTATTGGCAGCAACAGTTTTTAGCAATAAAGAATTCACTATTTAAATTGAATTACATAAATCCATTTTATCAATCATCGTTAGAAAAGTAACTTCATGATAATGATAACGCATAATTTTATATGCGTATTTTTCCGAGGTAGACATTCGTTTGCGACTTGGCAGCTTTCCTAACGAAGATAAGACAGTTCAGAGTACTTATTTGTACCACTTAAACCTAGAAAAAGAAGACGACATTATAAAAATAAGGATGGTCCTGGTACTATTTTTAAAACAAAAGAAATGACGCTCAAGTTTACTACCAAGGGTTTCCGAAATCCCTTTTTAAGGATGGACATTTTTCCCCAAACATCTTATCTCTAGGGTAATATTAAGAATAATTCGAACCACACACTATTTATTATTTTTCAAAATAACAGGATAATTTACAAAAAAAACAATCTTAATTATAACTTGACTTACGGTCACCTTCATTTACATAACTGCTATTACCACAATGAATACTTTTTCGAAATTTAACTGGAAAAATGGACGCTAAGGCTATGATTTGCAGAAGTGAATAAATACTACAGATTTCCGCAGCAAAACCAGTCTACTTTTATCGGCAAAACACTCAGTAAACATGGTATTAATGACACTATAAAGCAGAAGTGGAATATTTCTGGTTACTCGTCTAAGTCTATAGACCGGAAAATGAGGTAGTTGGAAGTTATGGAAAGGCTTTATCCAGTACCAAAAACGTCCTTCAACCCAACCTAGGCTAGAAAGCTGCTTTTGTATCTGCTTTCCTGCATAAACAGTCGTTGAAGTCACTGAACAGAATATTCACTACTGCAAACTTTAAAATCAACCTCTCACTTCTGAAGCTTATTCCTTATTATAGGAAAGATAAGTTGCTGCGGTGAGTTTTACTGAACTTTATCCATATGTCTACTTACTTCTGTAGAGGTAAGTACATTTTTACTACTTTGTTATGACTTGCCAAGCGTCCTCCTGAGAGTTACTCATTGTAAGAATAGTAAGATGAAAGCAGGACTATCTCGAGCTCTCTGTGTGGACACCTATCAAATTCGCAATATTTAACTCCTCCCT